ATTAATATATTATATATATATATAGTATGGTAGTGTAGCTAGATTAGAATATCACTTACACTAGATAATTGAGCATAGCATTAGGCTCTAGATCGAATCCATTGCAATAGCATTAGAACCCCATGACAAAAATACTATGTGCTTAGAATACCATTAGGACTCCATTACTACAAATTATGCACATCAGCATGTGTATATGTGTGTAAAGCGCAGCATAAAATAGAGCACAATGTAGCAAAAAGAAATTATACCGCATCAGACATATCACAGTGGAGCTTGGTTACAGAGTCCCCTCTGCCAAGTTCGTCGAAAATCCCATACGCAATATACGTCTTTGGTCCCAGGTCAGGCTTTAGGGATTTCTCCGGTAGCTTTGCAGCAAGATTAAGGATACCACATTTGGGATTTGTATATTCCTGAAATGGCAAGGCACTGATGAACTCAGCTCCATGACGAGGCAAGAGCTCCTCAAAAAAATTTGCAGGGGGCCAGTCTTTCAGCTTCAGCATATCTGGCCAGTCATTATGATGTGCACGACCTTCCATGTAGCCTCTGAAAAACTGATGAATACCAATATCGACCTGTGCATTGCCATGGAAGTAATTTTATGAATCAGAAAATCATTCTCATTAACAGCCACCAAGAATCTGCAGAACTACAAGCATTTGCAGAAAGCAAAGATTTCCAAGCTCATCCTCCATAATGTTTTTGAATGCCTCCATGTTCAAGTGTATGAAATAACAGACCCATGAATACTGAGAAAAGAAATCAATTCCACCTTCAACCATGGTGAATTCATGAAATAATCAAACTAGTAGAATTCTATGCACACAAACACACATCTATTCGGAAATCATTAATTTATCTTCAAACGTTTCCAGTTTTACCTTACCAAAACCACAAATACTTTTATTCCAAACCTACAACCCACAAACAATTTAGATGGAAGTCTCAGAGTAGAGGGGATATAAAAATTCCTTATTTACAATTCTCTCCCTATGTGTGTGCGTGTGTCTGCATGAACATATCCCAATTAGTTAACAATTGAAAAAATCTGCATTCTAATCATTAAAGCCCAAATTTAAGCAACTAAACATCATATATCACAATTAACCTGGCAACTGACCTCACACCAATCCAGACAGTCAATGGCTGTTACATCCAACACCACCTTGCCAGTTCTTGAGCCGGGCTTCTCGCGAAAAGCACGATACATGACCATTGGTTCCCAGCTCAAACCTAGTGTACCATCAAGAACATTACGAACTATCACAGGCTCACCTTTAGTCCAGTGCATTTGAAAGTGCTCAAGTTCTCCATCATGAACATCTCTAGCAGTTGGACAATATATATAATTGTCATCAGATTCTTCTCTACCTGCTGCTCTTCTTAGCATTTTCTCACTATCAGCCAATTGGCCACTTTCACTGAAACAAGAGCATCGAACAGTTGTATTTGACATACCTAAGGATATGTAATTGTTAGCCACATCCTCTGCTTTAACTAGCAAGTCTGAAAGCCCATCCCCCTCAAATATACACCTTAAATCCAAAAGACAATAACCACATCCCAGTATCTTCTTGCGAGGGCAAGAGATTCTGCCTCTACTATCAGCTTCCCATTCAAGTGCAAAGTTGTCTTCATTCCAAGAAGAAGATCTCGGATCAGTAGATTCTAGTTTCATCTTTGTGACATTCTGAGGGTCGTCACCATGCAAATAAGGTCTCCCTCTAGATGCATATTCAAAAGTATCCACCTCACCACCTTGAGGCCTGAGGCCTTCACGAAGCTCTCGGCAGCATTTTAGACAGAGGTCATATGAACAGTTTCGACAGCTGCGATGGAGGTCCACAATAGATGTGTTGCAGTTATCACTGGAACAAAACCCAGAGATATCAATCATATTTAACAGTACTTTTCTGGAAAGAATACTAAGATATCATCAACAAATTGCATGGCATCCCAATAATTACTGAGGCATGAAAAGCTTACCAGTATAAGCGCTCGTCATTGTGACATACTGCCTGTTTTATTTGCAGTTCAGATGGAGATACACCTACAGATAGAAAAAATATTAGGGCATGAAACAGCAATTAACATACATTTCAGATCAAAGACTACAAAAAATTCAGTAAATGCCTGACAAACCTAAATACTTCAAGCGAAAAAATCAATCTGGCTTGGACTTGGCCAGCCAATCTGTACATTTTTTTTACTAATTTGTTAAGACCAATTGAATGGGCTTTGTTAGACTGCCAGAGTGCCAGTCAGGTCAGTTTGGACAGGCTCCCTCACTAGTTTGTGATCTCTCGATCATTATAACATAGGTCCATACCTTGAATGGCAGCCTCTGTTTCCTTCTCCAATTCCTGTTCTTGGTGAGTTAGCTTCAGCAAAGGAAAGACCTTGTGTACCAAATAATGAAGATGCCGAATTTTGTCCTCTTTACTTATCTCCTTCAGATGACTCTGAACGAAAACACAAGGATGGAGAGATTATTAAAAATCCTACCTACACCAGTAAACTTTTCTTTTTATAAGTAACCCATTATGGTAAACAAACCATGAACAATGTCAGTTTAAGCAACAAATAATTGGACATCAAATAATCAAATGCAAGTGCATCCTGTCATTAAACCAGCAATGCTAAAAAGACCTCGAAATTTTATATTTAAGCAGCAAATGAACATGTGAAAATCAGACCTGTCGGCTCTTATACAAACGCAGGCATGCCTTGCAATTGCAATTCTCACGACAGACAGGACAAGCTTCTGCTATGCTCTCCTCTGACAATTGTGGGTACCTATGACCGGCGAACCAAGAACAATAAAAACAAAGGATAACAACCAATCAAATCCCAACAAGAGTTCAATGCTACAATAATAGCTTAATACACACAAAAAGTAACAGCTTTAGAGTTTCACGCAAAAATAAAGCTTGCATTTTTAAAGCTTCTTGAAAAATATCCAGATTTCAAAGTAAGAATAAAGAAAGAAGCAAATGCCAGTGCCTAGATCATGTAAATTTTCCGTATAGTACCTTAGAACTCCAAACTCCATGATTGAATCTACAGAACCCAAGAGAAGCCATCACTGGATTTTGTTGATCATTCATCTTCTGAAATTTTCTTTTTTTGCCCTTTTTTTTTTGGGTAGTTCCTTTTTCCCCTTTTATAACATCATTATCACCATTCATAATAAAACTACACACATCACCTTGAGCCAGCCTATAATGTAGCCATTGCTACAAACCAGTGTTCAAAAACTCAAACTCAGTGGCCTACTAGGTCACTGCCAAACCCAAGCCAACTCACCTAGTCCAATATTTAACTTGGAAAACTCCGCAAGTTTTTCAAGTTTTGTGTGAAGAAATATAGAGAGGGGAAGGGGAAGGGGGGGAACACAAAACATTTATAATGGGAATTGAATCCAGCTTTTCAACTACGGCATAATGCAACCACATTCTATGAAACTATGCATTAGTAAATTCAGCATGAATCTTATATATCCACTTGGCAAGTCAAGTGGACTCATGCAAGTTTTTCTGACTCAAAACAACTTTTTTATTCGCTGCTACAAATTACAAAACAATTGATTCTTAAAGATGTATCATTCAAATATTTATTTAGGACAATCTGACAAATGAAATGGTTTGAGTTAGAACAGAGATTGCATTTATAATTATGGTTCAGTACCCATTTGGCATAAAAGCTTGGTTTACATAAGTTTCAAACTTTCAACTAATTATTGATACACGTATGCTTCTCAGTATCACATCATAACATAGACAATCAATGTTACTACACAATGAACTCAGAACTCAAAACAAGTACTGAGCTTTCCAATAGAATTGGCCAAGAAGGTTCAACAATGGCATAAAGTATGAAATACAAGCATAGAGAGACATGCAGAGTAAATACTAATCAAAGATTTAGTTCAATATCAATGAGAAATTTGTACATTGAAATTAAACAAAAAACGGACAAATGTAAAACAAACAAAGAGAGATAGAATATAGATAGAAAAGACCAACATACCATCTTGTTAAGCAAGGAATGCAATAGCGTTTTCTGCCGCATTTTGTGCACCTGACCACGCGCCCGTTATCATTCCTTTGACATTGGTGGCACATGTTGCTATAGGGATTTGGTTTCCTCTAGCGCAAATAAACAAAATCATTACAAACATAAGGCAAAAATTGGAATAATGATTAGAGGCTTCTAGCTTTGAGAAAACTATAATTTTCCAAATTAACGTTGAGAACTGGCATACTATCTTCTAATAATCATAAAAAATAAAATAAAAAATAAGAAATCTGCCAACCCAAAAGAAGCTTTGAGAAATCTATAATTCACCAAAACTAGCAGTTTACCTGTGGGATTTTTACAGGGCACTGTTCCTTGTTCTGTGACCTAGTCTTGCGCCTAGAGTAAGAGAGAGCTGCGAACTCCATCTTAGGTTCAATATGAGAGGACCCACCCTCATTTTTGGGCCCTGAATTTTTATGATTTGATCTTCGACTTGATGGTTCAGCTAGTTTTTCACACTCCGATTCCTCTTCCTCCTCTTCTTTCATCTTTGTCTTCTTCCGTTTTCTAAGAGCCATCTTCTGGTTCAAATTAGGTCTCTTTTCAGCCCTAAAAGCCATATCATTATCACCACCCTGCTTCTTCTTGGGCTTCTTCTTTGCACGCCTCAAATCATCAGTTTCCATCACTTCCTCTGAACTTTCATCACTCTCTGTTGACCTCTTTCTAGAAAGAGAATTTTCAGCTCCATTCTGCATTAAATCCCCTTCCCCCCGCCTCTTTTTCATTGATGACGAAGGAGAATTGGCAGCTCCATTTTCCTTCTGGGCCCTAGCTTTGCGCTTCCTCTTCCCCTTCTTCTTCGAAGAAAACTGTTTCAATGTCGCAAGGTAATGCTCTTGACAATAAGACTTACTTTCAATGCGCCAGTTCCTGCACCTCCATGACTTCCCATCGCTTCTTTTACAGCGTAACTCTTCAGAAGGTTCAAAAGAAATACCATCTTCCACCATTATCAGAGCTCCAAAATCAAGCAAGCAAAAATGGAAGTCAAGAAGATAAAATAAGAGACACACCTGATGAACCAGATATGAAAATGGAAGGAACCCTAGGTCCAAGAAACGGTAACTAGCCACTGAAAACTTTAGCAAGAACCACTGATAATTAGGGCACAAAAAAGAACCATGAACTAAAACATGCCTCGAGGAAACTAAGAATCAATGTGAGAGCAAAAATTAGGGCAAAAAAACAGAATCAAAGGACAGAACAGGCAAAAAAACAGTGGAATATCAGCGCAAAAAAAAAAAGTAAATTTAGGGCAAAAAGGGACCAACAATGGCCAAAAAACCAGATAAAAGACACCAGAAGAACAATTCTAGGGTTTTTAAACAAGCGAAATCCCGCCAAAAGTGATTCCAGAAACCAGGAAGAGAATTAGTACGAAGGGATTTGTTGGGTTAAATGGACACACAACAAAAATTGGCAAACCCATGTAATTAAAAACCGGTTTAATTTTTTGAAACCGGTGACTCCGCCGGTTTTATGAAACCGTGGTTTCATGAAATGTTTACCGCCTTTTGGTGATGGATAATGGAACAGATTACGCGCCTTATGGAGACACGTGCGCGACAATGCTGTTTCTTTCGTTTCTTTGATGCGCTCATGTCTTTCTTACGACTGGTTGCGGTTTTTTATTTTTTTCTCTTTTTTCAGGTGCTATTATGTACTGTACATAAGACGTACAGTTGAATTTTATCGAAGGATGTAGTTACGGTGTCGGAAACTTTACGATCGCAAATCAACTCTAATTATAAAATTTAATTTTAAAAATGATGAGAATTGAACAGTTCTATAAACAACTATATTTTTCAAGCTACGCTATTTTATGACTTTAAATTTTACTTATTTTTACATTCATACATATTGAAGTGGAGATGATTAAGTGGAAGGTCCCCAATTTCCGAGCCCTCGTTTTTCCTTGATTTTTGAGGTGCAAGGTTACAATCTTAAATGAAGATTTTCCTTTTTGTCGCTTAATTAGTTATCTCCCAATGTTTTAAAACTCCTTTGCTCTGGAATTCTGGATAGAACTTAGTTCACTACCTGCTAATTTGGTTCTTTAAAGGGGTTCCAGATCCCTTCATCAAAGCCCATATATCTGAACTTTTTTCAATAATGCTGATTTGGATTGCAGATCCAAATCGGTATGTGTGGGTGATCCAAGAGTTGAACTCATAAGAAGAACCTCATGTTCGACACAAAATCAGGTGATGAACAGTTCAAAAAGGAAGGAAAAAAAAAAAAACTTGGAATCACTCAACTCCCATCAATATATATTTTTAAATGTTATTGCTAAAATTCTTACTGATTCGTCGATCTAGGCGGGTTCGGTGGGTGACGATTATGGACTGATTGAGTCCTGGAATACTCAATGGAACACTGGCCTGTGTTGACCAGATGTGTTTCTCTTCTGCACATAATGGCTTGAAGGCTTTTAGGGAGGTCTTTAAAAATTGAGGAAAGTATCTAAAAAATTCAAACATTTGCAGTAATTAAACAAACAAGTTTAAATTAAATTGATTATTATGTAAGATTATTTTCACTTAAATACCTCTTCAGAACTTTTGTTTATACTATAGTAATTTTATCAGTAAGTAGCTTGAGCCAAGTGATAGAAATACACGTGGGTTAGATATCTGAACAAGTATTCATGCTCTTATACTTATAAGCGACCATATTTTGTTTTATAAAATCATGAGCTTTTCGTTATTATAAAATCAAACCTTTGGGAGCATTTTAAACCGGAGTCCTATTAGAGTTTTATGTGGAATTTTGCTAATTTGTGATTCAACCTAGAGGATTACCTCTGTATAAAATAGTATACTGTAAGTTTTAATCTTCCACTAATGAAAAAAGGGTAGGGGGGCTTCTCCCCTACTGATTTACCTAGAAATAATACTCATGTCTCTCTTGATGCTGTGCTTTTCTCTCTGTCTTGCTCATAAAGCAATGGCCTGCGCCTTGCCATATTCATTTCCACTCTCTGATGAGTCCATTACACATATTTACTGACTATTGTAAACAACGGATCAAATATAAATCACTGGATTTGACCCGAGACCAGTGGGTGAGCAATCTCATCCAACACTAGGAGTAGAATCATCTGACTCCACCCATCTTATTTTGCTATTATTTTTTGTTGATTCTGATCTAGACCGGTTCAGTGGACGATCGATTTCAAACCCAATACTAGGTTGTAAACATTGCTGGTAGTTGAAGTAAAAAGTTGAAAAAGCTTAGGGGAGAGTGAAAAATATACAGAAGAAGGCCTTTAATGAACTTTATAGGTAAAGGCATTCTTTTTTTTGAACATTCATAGGAAAAGGCGTTTATTGTAAGTAAAAGCTGCCTATTTTGATAGAAACTTAGATTCATAAATGAAACTTTAAATATTAATCGAGTAGCTTGATGTTGACAACAATTGGAAACAGTTGGGAAGCACCTCTCTTTGATTTTCCATTATCATTGAAACCATATATCAGCTCCTAACTCTCTAGTAGCATTTTTCCATTGCCTTTGAAAATTATAAAATTACTTCTAGAAAAATTGGTAGGGGAAATTGGAGTCACTAGAGCAAGACACACAGCATGTACATACACATTACCAAGAAATTCGATCCTTTTGCTGCAAAAAATACATTGTTTGACTCGGTTTTTATGAGTCCCCTGACTCATACTATTATAGTATGAGCTCCCTGTAACTTT